GTGTGTGTGTGTGTGTGTATAAGTGAATGAATGAATGAATGGGGCAATCAAAAATGGATAGTGAGAAACGGAGAGAAGGGCTCACAACATCAAAAATTATATCCTAACAAACATACTAGTCCGTTAAAGTGGAATCTTATTTTAAGGACTTGGCTTTCTGAGACCCGTGTATTTAAAAATTTTGGGGTTGCAAAAATCAGGTGATCACCATATGGCAGCAAAATTTCGTACCATGTATCATACACATAAATCAGTCTTAACCACCAACGCTGGAGTCAAAACTGCAACCTGAAGTTTACGAGAGTTCTGGGGAATGTCCCTTAACTCACCCCGTAATCAAGCCGGATACTGATCAGTCCGTATCTCTAGGACTTCTGGGAAATGTAGTTTGGTCATTCAATAAAGCAGGCAGAAGCCGGCAATTGCAGGTAACGGGAGGGAAAGTAAGTGAACCGAAGGGCGATGGAGTGAAAGAAAGCGGACAAAACGCAAAGAGAAAGGGAGCTTTTAGAAACGGATCTTGGGAAATGTGGAAAAGGAGCCGAAAAAAGTAGCTGGTTAATACTTCCTTCTAATATTAAGATGCTTAAGATACAGATTTAAAACTCTATTTAGTATATATTGTTGTGCCCTTATGGGAGGTAATACAACATACGTTGAGTCAGCATATGAAAATTTTCTAGCATCGCGGTTCGTATCCTTAAGAAAGAAGGATATTAAATCTAGCCTATGCGTGTCTCATTGAGCCGTAGGGCATTACGTTGCTTTGCCCTCCGGAGAGCTCTTTTCTCAGAAATCCTGGAAGTACTTTGGGGAGGAGAGGGGCTAATGCAGACTTTTCAGCTTTGCCAAATTAGGGGCTTCTGGGGACCGGAAATCACTGCGCCGGGGTACCGTCGGCGCTAGAAGAATCAGGAAGTTCCTGGGCTAAATGTTGCCCTTGAACTGTGATGCTTTAGGTATGCCACTCTGCGTTTTTTTTCAACTTCTTCTCAAAACTGAAATTATTTGGGAAAATCACAAAGAGCCTTGTGGGTTTTCCGAACTTTACACTGCAGCTATCCTCGAGGGAGGATGTCATGCTTCCTCGTGGAGGATTTAATCATGGTTTGCTCAAGTAACAATGTACTGAGAGTAAATTCACAACCCTAACTGCCTTAACATATGACACTAAGCTAACATGCGATTGGCTATTTTGTGGTCAGGGCCTTGTGTAAACACAGCCACTCTCTGTGAAATAATTGGAACATTCAAATGCCCTGTATGATTGCTAAATACAGTATTATTAAATAGGAAGGAATGAACATGGTTTGGAAACTTGTGAACTTGATCAGGAACAACTTGGGCACTAAAAATATATAAGGATGAAGTGAGGATCCTGCTCAAGTGCATTTATTATAATACCCATCAGTTTAACTACTGGGGAGTCAGAGACTGCCTATACAAAGGTTTGGGTGGAGGGTCAGCATAAGCTTAAAAGTTTTGTATGCATGTCTCACTTTTCAGAGTCTGCATCAAATGCTTGTGGCTCTTGGGTTATGATGCCTTGTGGAGACACAACCGCACTTCCTGTTCTACGCACGATCAGACAAATGTCTAAATGGTGCATGAACAAGTAGGATAATCAACTTAATATGGTAGAATGGCAGGTGGCAATTTGATCTTGGCTGTGTGCACCTGGGTTGCCCCAAGGAAGTGTTTTTAAACCTTGGCAACTTTAAGATGCATGGACTTCAACTCTGCTGGGGAATTCTGGGAGTTGAAGTCCATGCATCTTAAAGTTGTCAAAGTTGAGAAACACCACCCTAAGGGATGATCTGTATCAAAACAAGGCTGTTCCATCCTGCTAATTCTCCAGTCTTTAAATCTCCAGGCTGCGGATGCCATTAGCCATAGAATGCTTTTGAAATGGTTGGGTTGGAAATCTTTAGCTTGTCAAGTGACAGAAGAACATTTGAAGTTTTTTACTCTGTTCTGGAAAAATACGTTTGTGGAGCCACAGAGCTTTATTTTGTCACTCAAAATAACATCTAAATAAAAACAGATGTAAAATAGATGTAACAACAGTAATATAAAACTAAGAGATGGCAAAAACATGTGAGGGTTAAGCACAATCCATGCCAGAACTCTTGATCTCTAAATGCTCACTTAAACATCATGCGCTTTCTTACTCTGCAAAAAGTTGTGCGGGGATCATATGGATTTAACGGGGCTGCATATTAAACAAGGCTGGGGCAGCTATTGAAAATATCTGTTTTCAGATCTGCTTTTCCTTGATCTGTCAAGAAGGCAGAACACAGAGCATCCTTTCATGAATGGATGAAATAGGATGAGGAGGAACCTTCTGGGGAAGGCTCTCCTATTGGAACTCTTTCCTTCAGTGGGAGAAACTTTCCCTTCAAAGCCATGTCTGTAGCCCTCTACAGCCCATCCCGTAAGATCCAATAGGGTTGGCATGGATCTCATTGAAAGAACATGTATCCCCTGCCACCATTCCAGCCCCCTGGAACAGTTATTATTTATTATTTATTTGAATTTATTAGCCGCCCAACTCCAGTCTTGTGGTACTGAGGAAGCATGCCTTCTCTGTCCCGGTCCCCCACCCCACCCCAGAACAGCATCACCCCAGAGATAAGGAAAGAGAGAAGGAAGGGGTGGTATACAAAACTGAAAAATCCCTAAAAACAGATAAAACATCAAACCGAATGAACAGCCCAGACTAAAACAATCTTATGAACAACACAAATCAAACGAAATAGGGGCTCTACACAAACAACAATACATCAACCCCAGACCTGGTTTTCAGAGCGTTTCTTATCTCTGGGGCGATGCTGTTCCAGAGGGTGGGGCCGGGCAGAGAAGGCACGCTTCCTCAGTCCTACAAGATGACAACTTTTAATAGTTTTCCTTCCAAGATCTGCATGGCCCAACCCTGCTGTTCTTCAGAAAGGCCATAACAACCTGGCTGTTCCCGCAGCTCTGGGCTATGGAGTTTTGTGAATCTATTAGTATGCTATATGACTGTTTAAAATTTTGTATTCCCTGGACAGTTGAGTTGTTTAACAATTAAGTGGTCATATAAATCCAATAAATAAATAAATACTTTTTATTATCATTGCAATATATTGAATATGGGACAAAACAATTGTCTGGAACTAGCGGTTTGGAATACAGTAGTATATTTTTCTGGGACTCCCCATTAACAAACAAGGTACAGTTCAGGATATTAGTTTTAATTTCTAAAGCAGCCTCTCACAGCCTAGGGATTCCTAGATGGATATGACTCCAACTTATATAAAGCCATGCTGGCTGGGGATAATGGATATTTACACATTTACAGGCTACCAAATTAGAAAAGGCTACTATACAGTTTCAAGGCCCAATTTTAGAATGGAATTTCCTTCTTGGTGGCACTCAGAAAGTACTCTGTACTCTAACTAAAAATCATCTTCTCCAGAGCATTTAATTAACTGGCTTTTTCTATGCCTGTCTTTCATTGGTATGGTTTTATTTCTCTCATTGCCCTTTGCTGCTTTTAAGTCTCTTGGTTGCTGCAAGCTGTTTTATATGTAGATTTCTTATAATCTGATTGTTTTATATTTCAGTTGATTGGTTTTTTAAAAAATTAAAAACAAAAGAAAGACATATTTGTTCCTGTTGTTAGCCACTTTGGATATCTTTGGGATAGAAAGAAGAAATACAAGTGTTAAAAAAATATTTTAAACATAATGCTTAGTATAGACTCCAACCATATTAAACTACTGGTATTATTCATGCATCATGTTGTAGTTCAGTGTTTCTCAACCTTGGCAACTTTAAGGTGTGTGGACTTCAACTCCCAGAATTCCCCCACCACCCTCCTGGCTGGGGGAATACTGGGGGGGAGTGCCACCCACCCTAAACATACCACAGGGGTTGAAAAATTAACATAAAAAAAAA